ATGATGATGATGATGATGATGATGATGATGATGATCGTTGATGATGATGATGATGATGATGATGATGATGATGATGATGATGATGATGATGATGATGATGATGATGATGATGACCCGTGGACAATGCTCCAAGATGTTATCCAAGTACCTGATTTAGATAATTGCAGAATTACTGAAACGACCGCTGCAGTAAACCGAAAACGCTGCGTCGTCTACCAGTGAACTGATGTGCATATTTCGAACAACTACAGCCACACTCAGAATTCACAATGGGAAAGGTAGAGGGAAGTATTCTGCCCCGACTGCCGACCAAAGCTGTAAGATACTCCCCAAGTCCGGTCATTTTATAGAGGTTGATAGCCCGAACATCTCCCTTGTCCGTGTTGCGGCCCCCTTTCCTTACAAACTGAAACCAGATTACTCTAGTAATCCAAACTTACAAAAAACAAGGCGCAGACAAGTCAAGCGAGCTTTATGTGGTTTGGAATACGACTATTGAGTCTATCAACATAGAGGCAACGCCATGAACTACGATCATCAAACTGATGGATTACGTTCGACGTATGTGGTATGCCAAGTTTGGTGGACGATGTTTTTCACACGGTGGAAACGTAACGATACATGTCTAGGATGAGGTGACGAATACCGAAAAACGACAGACTGGTTTCAAGAATAAATAAGGACCTGCACAGTATCTGCATCAATTAATTAACTTCTAGAAAGAAACGAATATTTTCACCCAAATTGATGTCGAATGTTTATGTCCCATTGTGACGTATTTCAGGCCGCCGTGATTGAAGGACGAGTGGCGCTATATCGCACCACTGACCAACCACTCGTTACCGAACGATTTAGTTTTCAACTATTATCCGGGAGGTCACGAGTTCAAATTTCTCTGGAATTTCGTCAGATACCAAATGATAATTCGCAACAAGGATGAAACGGCTGTACAGTGTTACTCGCCCTATCATCACAGACTGGTTTCACTTACGAAACTGATGATACGTCAACAAAGTCACCCAACACATGAAGCACGGAATTTCAGCGACCACCTCGAATAACGACCGCCATGCAGAAAGGACCACATTGATCGGGTCTCACGAATGATCCCTCTTTGGAGAAACTGTATGAGTACTTTATACGAAGAAACAAAGTCATAAATGGACAACGGTTACCCCACACGAGGTAACTGAAAACAGCTTGAATGCATGTGCAAAGGTGGAGGAGAAACACCCAGTTTTGCGGGAGAACACAGACACCACAGTGTGGATTTACCGGTAACAGTTTTCATCCACCCCAGAAGATTAGACTGGGCAAGAAGAGCGTGCATCGCTTCTTGTTTGGCAGTATCGAATAGGCTGTGTTGAATTGTTCGAGCAGCACTTCGTTGGACGTCACGCAGTTTGGAGCGCCCAGTGCTCAGGGCACCTGTGCCCGCATAGATACGACTCACTTGGTCACCGTTGAGTTGCCAGAGCTGATGTGGAAGAGGAAATGGTGATGAGTAGGCATCAGAGAGCACGAGAACAACAAAACAATAAGACTTCGCGCCCTATCCAGAACAGACAGTCGGGACTGGTGAGTGGAGATACACATGTAAGACTGCGCCCCCTCACCGAGATATGCCACTTAGATTTATTTAGTAATATTAACATTATCAAAATACCCTTCAAACATAATTGAAATGGAATCTTCTAGTTATGTGTCTCCTTAGTTTGGACAACTTGGACACCAGAAGACGAGGTTAGCACTACGCCAAAGTAAGTGCCCCCGAAGAGGTCGCTTTAAACTGAATCCCACTGCGGGCGATAGGATGACATCTAAGATATCAATAAGGCCTGTACACCGCAGTCATCATCATCATCATCATCATCATCATCATCATCATCGATACCATGACATCAGTCTTCAACACTGATGTTTCGCTGCGTACAACCATGATTTATTGGAAGGCATTATTAGGAAGAAAAAAATAAATGTGGAGAGGTATGGGACTACAATAATTCCGAGGTGCCTACACCTTGAGACAGTAATTCAGGCAATCTGGATGGAAACCGACAACAAAAACGCCACTGCCATCGGTTAACAGCCATATCTTGCAGCTGTATAGAAACTGACAAGAAGAACGTCACTAACATCGGTTAGCGGCCACATCTTGCAGCGTCTTCAACCAGGCGAAATGGGGATCACGCGGCCCCCATCTTGGTGGGCGAGTAGCACCGCAACATCCCAAACGTTACGTGATTTCTTTCATCCCCTCTGCCAGGTCAAGGGTTGACCATCTCTCTGTTTCCGCCACTCTGAATTGGGCATGGAAAACAGCAGGCTCTTCGGCAAGCAATGGTTAGGGATCGGTAACACATGTGCCAACCAACGCAGCTTCTGGTGATGGACACATTCTTCAATGGAAGTACCTGTTGCACAACCGAAAACTCGCTTCCTAATTGCCTCTTTACGGATACGCCGACATCAACCCACACGAACTATGGTTCTGAGACAACGACTGTCGAACACTTGAAGACGTCTCAGTTCCGCTGCTCGAACAGCCCAATTCTCAACCACACAACAAAACAGCCCACACTGTAGCCTGATACACACGTCCCTTGGGATTCAGGGATACACCACTTTGACGCCATAGGTGTCTCAAATTAGCAAACGCGACCCGAGCCTTGAAGATTCGTACATTGACCTCATCCGTCACACTACAGTTGGAGTTAATACAACTTTAAGATATGTGAAACGCTCCACAACTTCCAGTACCTCCCCCTGGATTGAAAGTGGAATACTCAATGACTGCATGTTTAGGGACATGACCTTCCATTTTGTGGGTACAAAGTGTACACCAAAGGACGGGATAACTATGGTCAATTCATCCAAAAACACTTGCGCCTTCTTCCCTCTTCAGAGACAAGAATGACGTCGTCTGCATATTCCAGATCGACAAGGTTCTCGACACAGGCTATGTGAACACCGGGGTTTTGAAGACCGTCGTTATTTCATCGATTACGAAATTAAAAAGGAATGCAGAGTGGGCATCCCTGAAGGTCATCGCTTTGCGTACGGAAGCTTCTAGAGAGCTCTCCTTATACTGTCACACGCCCGGAAGTCTGAGAACACAAAAAGCTCATTATGTTCACAAACGTTCGGGGAATTCTTTGATGGACAAGGGTGTTAAGGAGTCGAATTCACCCTGGAAATCCAGGAATATTACAATTGTAGGTCGATTGTGCGTATGGCGTTGTTCTACCAATTGAAGGAGTGTGAAGATTTGACCAACGCAACTCCTATTAGGCAACTCCAGATCGCTGTTCTCGAGTCGGTGTTTGATGAACCACCATAAGGCGACGAAGCACAATTGACGCCAACAGTCTCGTTACGACGGAGGTTAAGCTGATCCCCCTGTGGTCACCATACTTACTACGAGCCCGCTTTTTGAAAACGAGCACTATCATCGGTTCTCCCCAGTTGTCTGGAACACTTTTTCCCCAAATGCAGGCGAACAGGTCAGACAAGAGATGACTGAGAATTTTACCCCCTTCTTGGAAAATGCGGGGGACTTTTTCCCCAAATGCAGGCGAACAGGTCAGACAAGAGATGACTGAGAATTTTACCCCCTTCTTGGAACAATGCGGGTGGGAGGTCATCCGGACCAGAAGCTCAGTGGTGCCTGAGAGAACACATGCAGTCGTAAACCTCCGAGACCGCAGCTGGTAACACGTTCAGAATCCAGGGTTTTACGTCAACTGTGGGCTCCGGATGAGTAACAGCTGGTAGCCACCACGGTACAACCATATTCATTACGCACGTTAATTTCTTATGCGTACCGGGAATTGATTACACAAGCGGGTAAATGACGGATATGCGACTGGACACGGCAGTTACCCTCTTGGCTGTCAGACACGCTTGTAAATACCTGTGAGGATGCTGCTCCATATACTGATAGCTGCTTATCATCCACATTGATGTTTGTGTATTTTGTCGAACATTGTTGTGTAGTACGATAGTAACACCATTCCAGTACTTTTGAAGTGAGGAGGATGGCAGTTAATATTCGCATATGTCTATTGTTGACAGCCGCATGCACATTGTCATGATTTCTGACGGCGATACGGTGACCGATAAGGCTCGAACGAACCGAAAACGACTTCTGTTCATGACAGAAGTCATCAGAGATAGCGTCAGAAACGAGGAAAAACTAACCAGCAGCTCACACTGTGCACACTTTTCAGATGGAACTTGGATTTTGTCACCGAACTTCGGGCACAGTTTGACGTACAGATGTTCCGGATCCTATTTAAAAATGAAGTTTCAGGAGTGTTAGTTTGTCGCACCGTCCGCTCCAGTGTAGTGCTTCGACAGGCGGGTCACACCAGATGAGAATGATCTAAGTCTCCAGGACCACAGTGGCGAACGACGAACATGCGAAAACGTATCGGCAGATGCGATTATCTGGGTCAGACAGCCATGACAGCAGTTCTTTTCGATGCTTTCCACTCCCACTCCCACTTTCAGTCTGCACTTGGGTGTACATAAAGGTCGCAACCCCAAGTAAAAGTTGAGTAACGCTGGTAATGTCGTCTGTATCGTGTTCTCAAGAAATTCCATGTTCAACTGGTCTACGAGCCACGCAAATACCAGTGTTGGTTATAAAATATGGACATCGATAATGCATGCCGTTCAAGGGGCCGGTTCATCTTTTCCTGAGACTTGGGCACAACACAACCAAGTAAAGCATTATGAAATAAGCCTTTGCGCCCGTAGCAGTAAGGAGACCGAAGTTCAAATAAGAAACCCGAACACATCGGGATAGCGTGAATTCTACTAAACAAGCCGTATTTTGGAGTAATCGAAACGTATCTCCACTTCTGAGCAGATGCAAAGGTTCACCAACAAGATTCCGGCAATGCCGTAAGATAGAACAAATGGATGATCAACCATATTGTGGCGTGAACTGCTTCCCGTCGTGCAGAGATATCACATACACTCCCTTTTAACAATCACTTACTGTATTGCATAAGTATTTGCTGTATCTTTAATAGGTCCTAATAAATTAACAGAATAATCCGTAGTTGTTTGTCCACCAGTGTTATTAAATCTACATTAGCTATGAAGAGGAAATTGTTTCTACTGTTGAGAAAAACTTTTATCGAAAAATTTTTGTCGTTCGCACCGTCCACCTCGTGGGGAAGGGGGGAGAGTGAGGAAAAAGTCGATCTAATCTGAAGTGATCACCTCTAGGGTCAACAGCAATCAAGGCTATCGGTTATGATCACCCGATATAATTGGACTTTAGTCAAAATATACCTATCATGTGAAATTCAACAAACGAAAAAATGCAACATACCTGGCGCAGGCTATCGACGAACCGAGTGATTAACATTTGTTGATTTTTCGTCGTCACATTTAGACTTTGTAACATACGTGGTAGAACAATGTGCAGTCCGACGATGGTCTGGACCGCATTTGTTCTATCCAAGCAGTCAACACAGTTAATTCGTAGCTACAACGAAGAGTGATGAGATAAAAAGATCAAGGTGAGCGGACTGTGAGCATTTTCCTCCGATAACGGTAACACGGATACCAAACCAAAACGTTGGTGGCTTTTTACGCATTCCATAAAAGACCAGTTCAGTAAACGCACCAGATGCAGGTGAATGATAAGAAAAGCCTTGGCAAAATGGTATCCCTATTAAATTCGATTTCAATATAAGTGGCCATCCACATTCGTGACAACGGTACAGTCAAGCTAAAGGAGACCGAGGCCGCAGCATGAGTAACCGCAGAATAATAACCTCAAATCAGAAGCTACCAACTTTTAACTTGCAGAATATCACCGATGTTTACCGTAGGACACCAGCCGACCAGTGCATACGATGGGTGGAATTAGTGTGCAGCCAAACTCCCTCACATTTTTGGTGACGGAATTTTCGCTAAGTGAGGGATATATCAAAATCCACCTTGTGCGCATCGTCATGAGCGAGGGACCTCTAACTCACTGGTGACACTGGGTAATCCATCAGACTAACATTTCAGGAAACAGGACTCACTGTGTTGACAAGCATAATGAGGGGGAACCAGCTAGGCGGAATCCCAAGGCCACAGGGAAATTCACCAATCACAAGACACGTCGAACAACAATTCAGTATGAATGCCATCCCGAACGGCCAGATCAAGATCAACTCTGTATCAATTCATGCAAGAGCACTTCCACTTACTGTGCACTGGTGATATCATCTTGACTGGTGATGAAACGTTTGCAACCGAACTGCTGAGCTCAGCGAACAAACCAACGGCCATCATTTCTACAACCTGAGCTACCGATATTCTCTTCAGTTACATGGAAGGGGATACTACATACAACATCAGTAGACCAACGGTGTCGGTAATTAAGAAAAACTCGATTCCAAACCAGTCAAGGACCACTTATCAAGCAACTCATTACCGGCTACGTTTAACACACTTCCTCTTATAAGCAACCTTTACCTGAGGAAGATAAGTTCTTGGTGATTTCCAAACTATTGCACTACGAACAAAGTGTCCTCTACTCCCTGACAGGTCACACAACGTAAATCTCAAAAGAAATAAGGCTTGCGATTCAACATGTAAACCAACATGGATCTCCTCTGTTTTTGTATGGGAAACACTTTAACCCAACAAAGTAATAACCCCAGCACAAACTAGATCAAAACCGTGCATGTGGTACACATCTGTAATCTTGCGATACATAAACCATCTGAGGTCGACTCATACAAAACATGATAGGATATGGCGAATAATTCAAAAATCTGACTGGTCACACCATTTTGTTCTTTAGCATGTGTTACAACAGTGGATATGGTAGTATCGAAGGTTTCCCCAAGGAATTACTTTATTCCACCGAAAGTGTGCATAGCAGGACAGAACATCCGAAAGATTTCGGATGAGTGCGCTGTTAGCCATTTCTAAGAGTGTCACGGAGAGCACAGTAGAAAAAAAGAAGTGAATAGCCAAGCGCCTAAAGAAAGCGTACTCATGCAAGCAAATGAACCTACCCGAGACTGAAGGAAAAGACCAACTAGTTGTTGGTCATTTTGAGGACACTCGGGCAATCTAAGAATTTTCAATGAATAGCAAAAACTTAAAAATAGTATTATTGGATCGCCCATCTGTAATAGTTTTAAGGCGCCCAGCTACCATGCCACTTGAAGGAAGCTTAAGGGCCAAAATACTGCCAGGTTGCTCAAGCCTAGACAGGAGCAGTCGAGATGCACGGAAGTTTGGTTCAGCACTTTATCGTCGTAACCTCAGAACTATCTCATTTGATGGTCACCTTTTGTCTCATACTTTCGAGTATAAACTCATGGTGGTTGGGACCGAAACTCTTTAGCTTCCTTAGACCTCCTCATTAGACCTAAGCTCCGCCTAAGCATCGGTTCATCACGTACTTAGAGAATCTGAACTTGCAAGCAGAGCTGAGGATGGAGAGCGTAGTGGGCATCCCAAGTGGTTTTTACCCCTAAATCAATGGTACGCAAACTGAGCGGAAGATCAGAGATTTCATTATACACGTCTCAAGTTGATGTTCGTCCAAGGAAAATTTGCATATAAATTTTATGGACACACCCTTTGAACAGAAAGCGAGCATGTCTCAAAAGTATACTCATGCCAAACTTCCCAAAACAGCCCAAGTATTTGGGAAGTTAGCTGAGCATTCCAAAGAATCGAATTAGGACGTGACTACATCGTGAGATGGAACAAATAGCAACAGGGTGCTCAACCAGATAAGTAATAAAGTGTAAAATGTAAAAAAATCTACACTAGTTAGGTATGCTACCAAAGCGGGTAGCAAAGAAACACCTAAAATGTATGCAAAACGAGGAAACTTACAGTGCCCGTTTGCCAATGAACAACCTTGTCATCGACGGCGTGAAAATAGCCCCAACTGTCCACGAAGCGTTCCAGTTGCTTCTGCAGCCAGTCCAGACTTTTCTGGCCTCGTGATTGCACTTCCGAATGATAGTCGAATATTATATGGCACACACTGTTCTGGGAGTGTTACAAAAAACAGTGAACACCATCATCGTAACGGATGAACTTCACAGAACTAAAAGAAACGAAGCTACACGATATAACCTACACCCTGCTCAGTGGGTCACCAAGTCATCACCAACACAGCCACGTATGTGTAATAGGTGCCATCTAAATGCCATAATGAGGGCAACACCCGGCGTGTGTATTTCGCTCGCTAGATGCGGATGAGCCCTGCAACAGACAATATTTTTCCGACAGTTCTATAGTAAGATTATGTAAACGAGAGCATTTTGAGGCTGATAAGGTGGTCGAATCCCGGAAATCTGGGCTATACGATGCCTACAGCCCTTATTAGGATGCAACATGCGTGAAATCGGTCACGTAACCTTGTGGTCAACAGTTTCAGACTATTAATCACAGGAACACGAATCCGCCAACCAGTCTCGGACCGCTGAAGTACTTGTACTGTTAGGGACGCATTAAGCTGTTTAGCACGTTGAAACAACCTCACTGCAGGAGAATAGTCCAACTGTCATTGTAACGGGTCACCGGCCATTTCTAGGGGCTTGGAATGCAGTCGGATCTTGATACGAAATACGCGGGGGAGGATCCCTAAAAATACAATTCAAAGCCGTTCATCCCTAGTGGCAGGTTGCTGCAAACGCGTCATCACTGTGACGCCACAATGACGTACGTAGCGTGAAAGTGGAAGATGAGATGAATCATTCACCGAATTTCAAAACCAAACGACGAACGACATTTGGGAAAATACGGGTGAAAACGTGGTGGAATAAGCTCTCATTAGTAGGCAAGCACTAGACCCCTTCCCCACTTCATTTCTCTTTACTAATATGGGCTTCACTTAAGTTGTACGGCAGTGAACTACTGATGCTTAGCATGAATGTTGCTGCCAATAACTATGACAATACATACGACTGTCAGCCAGAGGCTCTCATGCGGTTAGTGCTTGATTGCATTGCGTCCCTGCTTTACTACTTGCAGCGCCAGGAGTAGTAAGAAATGAACTAAGAACCTCGTCGACTGTGTGGGCAAGAAAAAGGGACCACCAATAATATGATGATACTCTCACATCACCAACAAGAGGGATTCACATGACATCACAGTTTTTCCTGCCTCCCACAAAGCTCCAACCACCGGAAATTTCGAAAACGTCACAGAAACAAACCCAGGAGTTACGTCAATCGAGTTCAGCTAGGTTAAGAACAAAAACGGCATATACGTAAACAAGCGTCATCCTAGCGAACAGGTGTTCGTTTGTTCTACATCGCAGCACAATCAATAAACAGTAGAGACTTCAAAAAATCATCCGTTCATAAATTTGGTGAAAGTTAGGCGCCGGAAACGAATACTGTTAGGCTGTTGGTATTCACGTTGAATATCGAACCACATTCAACCTAAAACTACATGAATCGTGTTCCGGACGAGTTTTGAAATAACCGCTGCGTAGTGAGCAAACGTTTTGGTCGCGTGAAGCTGTGTCCGACAAGCTAAACTTGAACCTACATGGGTGAAGGCTAAAACAATGGTTAAAATAGGCCAGACAGATGAACAGTTTGATGACGAGCTAAGCAACCGACTGAAACAAGCTTTATGCACAAGAAGGTCAAATAGGAGGTAGTGAATCTCTTAACATTTGTTTAACGACCACCAGACTGATGTATACTAGCTGAGAATTAGCTTTTGGTGAACAGTCATAACACTTCCACAAGAATTAAATCAACGGACATTCGAATGTTAGCTCGTATCAGAAGTGCCAAAAAGTGTCAACTGAGTTTCTTAAGTACGCTGTTACGGGGGTCGATAGTATGGAGAATCGGTATACATGTTCCAAAAAGCCACAGGTCAACTACAAACCAAACAGGTCAAATGAAATCAGTAGCTGTTAAAGATCCAGTTTTGAAGAACTGGGCGTTCTGATGTTGACCGCTTGAGATCGTCCTCAAAGGTTGAGCAGTCCCAACGGCAGTGAGATCGTTGGAAATTGTGCGGCTTGTTTACCCCTTGATCGTCACTGAAGGCAACCGGAGGTAAAGAGGATCGGACTCAGATATTCCGTCGAATGCCGGTCGTCAAATAAAACTGTTATCAATGGCTGTGATGGCTCTGTAAATAACCGATTCAACAAAACGAAGCCGACATCTGCCAGTTACCACGACTTGGTTCCAATGGAACAGTAATGCATCTGCGTTCTATACAGTGCTTAGTGCTTATCCAATTAATCCAAACATTCAGACGGCAGCTACATACAATGAAATATTCCAAAAGTGCCATTCTTGGCCACCTCTGGATTAGAATAAGCTCGGTGCCTCAAGTGCAAAAAGGGGAATTTTCCAGTAAAAGGACGGGTGATGGATTTGCGTCGTACTTTTAATTCAGGAAATGACCATATTTAGAGACAACAACATTATGGACTGCGTAATCGTAGTTTGGACCGATTGTTCGTACTGCCGATTTGCCTCAGTGGCGAAGAAAATGTGACACACTGTGGTCCTTCCAGAGCACTTTGCTAAAATTTACACCAATAACACTTGCCCTACAGGCTCGCAACTTCACGCAGTGGATGTTAACATTGAGGATAAACAGTACTTTGTCCGACTCTGCCCATTCCACAGTCATGTATGCAGTTCCTGAGAGAACAGGTAAAAAAAAATTGCACTAGAGACAGCAATCTGTAAATCTGTAAGTAAGTTATCAGTCCAAAAAGGTATCTGCTTTGAACTATGTAATGATGGAAGTATAAGACGTTATTAGGTAACAGTCCGTCTGCTACACCTTGTCTGAATACAGCTACGTTGTTTCCCGTTCCACGTGGAGTTCTCTGGAGAACCCACCATAAAACCTAATAGCTCGAATTATGCCGGAAGCATCTAGTGACCCGATTTCTTTCTTCTATCAGTTGGGAAGTCACTTCATTTTTTAAATCAAGTCTAATTACGCGTTTGCTACATGGTTTCCACGTAACTTTCTAGGTAACTACGAACTGTACTGTATTCAAAAGCAACCGTAGCAAGTCACAGTCGGAGGACATAGAACAGAAAACCCACTCGTCCTGGGCGGTCCACTGTGGCGACTGGCTCCTGGAGATTTCTTTGAAAGAAGGGATTTTTCTCATCATTGACTTTCCCAAGGTATATTCACAAGCGACACCGAACTAGCACTTTAAAGAATGAAAGTGCAATTCCGTCATACCAGATCTCATCATTTCAATATCCCCATCCACCGGCGCCTATAAGCATCCATTTCAAACTCAGCTACACCGATACCCCTCATCGCATGCATTCGGCGACTGAGGGACCGCCGAAACAACCCATCCTACTAGTCCCGATTTGACACAGATTTATGGGTGTCTGGGTGTCCTGCCCCTAGGTGCAAGGTCCAAACTCGGTGAGAATGGCTGACACGATCAGGCTTAGCAACAAACGTGGGCCTATCTGCGACAAATGACTTGAAAAAGTACCCGGGATCGGTTCAGTTACCCTATTGTCTCGTCACAATCATCACCAGGTCTACTTTCATCATCCTTACCGACATCAATGCACCAGTATTAAACTATGTTGCTTACTGGACATACAATCATGAGAAAAAAACGCACTACAGCTGAAAGGAAGGGAATGTGCGGAAAATTAGCGGAAAAAAAACGATAACCCTACGGAGTCCGAACACACAGACGACCGTCCGATTAGAGAGTCGGACGCAATAAATAAGTACAGGAGCAGAGGTTAGCTAAACCGTTATTGAAAAGATTCCATCCACCAGCCTAAACATAATCTTTATTACATAGTATCTTCGTTAGTTAGTTAGTTATCTTAAACACACTAATGGAAAGCCTTTCAAGTTCTCTTTTGCGGACTAGCTGAAATAGCCCCCGAACATTCCCGATTAGTACAGACTCTTCCTTCTGGTTCCAAACGCCTATGACCATACAGAATTTTGCTTTGAACTAACATTACACGAACAATCTGGCTGAATTACGCTCCGATCCTGATGGAATGCAGCGTCTCACGTTGAGGAATGACAATCACCGTTCCGAAATCTGTGATCAGAAACAGCATAAGAAGTTTCCAACATCTTGCAGCGCTGTGATTGTGCCTCCCAGTGACGATCAATGTTCTCTAATGGGGTCACTCGTACAGCTCAGCATGGCGAACTTTGACAGATCGCTTTAACTTGTCTCTTCAACTTCTGAAGTATTTCTACTGCCAAACGGTGGGCTCCATCAATAACTTGACCGGGGGGAAGGGGTTTAATGAAAGCCTAAACCGAACAAGAGCGTGGGCTTAATCGCTTCGAGTATTCCAGAATGACCGGCAGACAAGAACTGAACTCGTTTATCGGTAACTGATGTGATTTATTCGACTCCATGATTGCTCGGAGAGAGGGAAACGTCAGATAACACAACGGAGCCCACTGCATCCAAACCCAGCACTGCTGAGGAATAAATATGGGTCAGTACAACGTTGCGAAAAACGTTCACTACTACCATGAAGTTTGGTGCTGAAACAAGTCCACAGTCAAGACGTGTCTGTGATAAACTAAGTCTTCGGAGATTACGACCATATATGAGCTTTTGTGGTAGACAAGAGGGTGGCAAGTTTTCGGCAGAAACTGTTTTCGCTGAATCGGGGATGCAGCTGGTTGAAGCATCAGTGAAGAACAATTAGCGTTTCGATCAAAGTCAGTCCTTACTAACTGGACAGTCAGACAACAGTTTCAGATGTCTACGGGTATCCAGTCGAGCATAGAAACATCTGATCGTGAATTGCGAGCTAGGCTAGTGCCGGTGTAAGCCACTGCATCTGCCGCGGAATCACTTGAAATTCGCAGTCTGTTGTGTCTAGACAGTGAGGGTGCTGTAGGCTTGATTACTGTCTCGGAAATGCAACAAATGTCTATCGCTAAAATATCTACAGTGAATACAAAAACAGGGCGCTCAGTATCCGCACAATGGAATTGAATTTTCGAAAGCCACAATGTGTCCTTGATGTACCAAAAGA